CAGTGGCCTAAAATGTTTTCGCAATGTATAGTAATTTCAGAAATGGAGATTCTCAGCTGAGGTGAGTGATTTTGGTATGGTGAGTTTTCTGAGTTTCGCAGTTAGATTGTGGAGCCTCCGTTGTCATTATGGACGAAATCAATAGAGCTTACTTTACGTGAGGATGAGCTTGTTAATAGACACACGAGGAGGTCAGAATAAACTTATATAACACTCACTCCCAACTGAATTAGGCGCCAATGATGCTGTTCGGAACGACGATGGTACCATCGCAATTAAACCATTCAGTTTGGAGAACTTAATAAAATTGAAATATTTTATTCATATAGTGTGGTTTTTCCTGATTTATTTCTCGACATCTGTTTGAATTTTTTAATGATGGGTATATAAATCCCAAAATCAAATTTCTCATTTTACAGAATTATTACCAAGAACCTTCAAACAAAATTATCGTTTGTTTATAATATACATACTGTCATTTAACAAATGATTAACCTTGTTATTAGTCTTTCGCCCCTATAATTATTCATTTACATAATTTCAAATCATGAAGAACATTTAATCTCGATCTTAATATATTTTATTTGATTGTTAAAAATGATAATTATCCGATGACAGTATGAATTCACGTTATTCTGGATCCATCATTACTATTGTTTTATTCAAAGATATGAGAGGGGAAGTAACTGTGCTACATTTTATTTGGAAAATGATAGTTATTAAAACGGTTTAAGACAAATTAGAATCAACTGAAGATAAACGTAAACAAGGCTGTTAGAAAGATACACAAGTATGCATACTCCATCTGTCTAATAGTTTTTTTTAAACAGGAGGTAATTCAATCTAGTGTATATAGAAAATAGTGTATATGAAATCAGTAACTGTATTTGAATTATCTAAGAAAATGATATTATTGGTCACTCGGTCAAGGGAAAAGATAAAACATACTAACACACTAATATGATGCTGTGCAGTGTGATTGAAAATATACAACTACGCCGTTGGTCTAATGATTGACTCGTAGAATAAAATATGATAACTCAGTCACTAAGTATTATATAGAATTACAAGCATACATTGAGTTGAAAAAAGCACCTGTAGATTTGGGATATCTGAACCAAACACAATAAGAGGTGACAATCTTAAGCTCGACATACATGATATGCGTACGCCTCGTGCCCAAAGACTAGTAATACCAGGTTATATCACAGATATCCTTTATCTACCAAATAAACCATACAAACAATGGTATACTACCTATTTATTGGAAAGTATTATAAAATATCGTGAGAAATTTATAAAATCAAGGCAAGTTGAAATAACTCCGCGTGTAGCTCTTCTAGAGTTACTGCCGGTCCCAAGCCCGAGTAAAAAAGGAGAATTGGGCGTGGGGTTAGCGACCCCATCCCATAGAAAACTAACTCGCTAAAAAACGCTAACCAGAAAAAATAATTCAAACCATTTAAACTGTGCCCTAGGAGTTAGAACGTATTCATTTAGAAGAACTATGACGCCTCATGGTGAAAGCATTACGTCGGGAAATAGAATCAGATATGAAAAGGATGAATAACAACTGGAAAGGATTGCCCAGGACAGGGTTGGATGGAAAATGCTGGTAAGCGGCCTATGCTCCTTCACAAGGAGTAACAGGTGTAAGTAAGTAAGTAAATTGAAATGGAACACGTTAAGAATCCGACATACTCTAGAGGACTGTCCATATAGTATAAATGAGACATGGATAAATAATGACTAGGAAGGACTGTAGTATATTCAAGATCAGTCAACCTGACTTGACAAACTGAAAACGGTTGTTTAAGAAATTACTGACACATGACGATTAAACAGATTTTCATGGAACAAATACGCAAAACAGAATAAATAAAAAAGACACTCATATATCTCCTTTCATAAATCTCTGGTAAGTTATACTGCCCATTAGAATTGGTCTGTGAAATATTGACTCGAGCAACTAGTGTTTCACTTTTAGATATTTTCAGTGGTCTATAGTATTTTGGAGTCCTTTCCATTAAATATTCACATTAAGATGAACGAATAAATATTCATTTCTAATTAGTTGCTCTGCACAATCATATAGAATTTGTAAATAAATGTAAAACAAATACAAGTGGTAGTAAGTCAATCTAATAATATAGTAATCAGTTATTAAGACTATGTCTGTGAAATTAAAACTAAAATGAAACTTTATAAAAAGCTGGTTACCATGACTAGTTGCTTAAGATCAAGAATAGGAATTGAAATTAAATATGCGTTTTGTGTTATCTGTCAGATTATTAATAAATAAATAGTAAAACGAGTGTAATTAAAATTAGATGATCAGATTATTAGACACATTGTATAAGATTAAGATATAACAAAATCGTAAAATTTGGAAAATTTGTGGAAAGGTAATAAGTAGGACAAGGGAGATTAAAAGGCTGTATACAGAAATTAGGTATATTGATATACATTCCTACGGCGTCTGTTGTACGTAGGAGTCAAATCCCGAAGGCATAGAGAGTAAGTTCAATGAGATTCTATCGATAACTTTAAACGCTGAATTTATATCGACATAGTGACCAGTATTAAGAGGGTGTGCCAAAATAGACCTAATTGTTTTTTATCCTTCGTTAGGAAATTTGACGGGGACCCATGTCTACTGGGTGAATCATGAATAAGAATTAATTTCTCTTTTGGAAAGTCACCACAACAAATAATTTTGGATCTGTTGGCTGTGTTTGGCCAAGTTTCCCTTATATTGTAATGAGATAAAGCTCAAAAATGTGCACATTGGTTTTATGTAGGAGGTTTACGATAAACAATACTTGTTTTTGTGAATAATGTGAAAGATTTGATGTCATTGAATACAAAGACAGTGGCATAATATCCTGATTCTAAAGTAAAATATTACCTAAAGACGTTTGAACTATATTTATGCAGTTGAAATATAGATAAAAGGTGTAAAATATCAGTTGATATTGGTGTATACAGTCACTTGGAATCGTACTAAACGCTATCAAAGTCAATTTATATGGATTCACCTTCCTATAATTGGTTAGTAAATACTTTGATCATTTAGATAATTGAATTTTATTGTTCTAGCATGAGAGAATTTCCCATACTTGGAGTACAAACAATCATTTACACAAGTGCAAGTTGGAATCCTGAGTGTCAAATATTTCTAAACACCCTGACAATTATTTACCGAGCATAGTGAGTTATTTCATACGAAACAAGCTTGTTACAAGAAGCATTTGGACATATATACTATCTTATGAACTATTAAATCCATTAACTAAGTAAATATTATTGTACTGACTCTTGAGTCATAACTACTGGGAAGCCAGAGTTAATATTTTGTTGTCTAGACAGAAGTGAAAATGGGTCTTAACGAGTGATACAACAGCTTAAAAATGAGCTTAAAACACTGATCCATTATTAAGCTAGAATAATGTTAAATTTCGTTTGTCGCCAGATTAACATGACATTGAATACTAGCGCTAAAAAATTCAGTTTAAGAACCTCATATCTCGTTTTGAGAGATGATAATTAGATACAAAAGTCAGTGAAACAAAATTTTTTTAACTTGTCACTTGGAAGCATTTTCTCAACTGGATTCCGAAAATGTAAAGCTGACATTATATTTTAATTACGCTATTGATTATTATAAATATTATGTTTTATGTCTCAAGTAAATGAATACCCTTTTACTCACATTTGTTACCATCATAATGAAATAGTGGACAAAATATAGTACTCAAATGAAATTAGTAGTTTATTACAGCATAGCATAAAAAGAACTAGGATCAACGGTGAGTAATACACAGGACAAAAATAAACAGGTAGAAAATTAACGATATCGCAAGAAAGGTGGAATTATGTGAAATTCTACGTGACATGATATAAATTGTAAGATAGAGGAAACCTGCAACTCATAATCACCTCTTTTAAGTGTGTACTTTTTCGCTATAATATTGAAACTATTTTCATGATATTTAGAAATCGGTTATTTAGTATGCGGTAAATTACAGTGAGAACTGAATCAAATCTCATGTTTACTACCAAGAAGATAATTACATTGAGCATATATATATATATATATATATATATATATATATAGTACGCTATAATGCACTACTAAACGTGTGATATAGAGAATGAGGGATGTTTCTACTGGGAAACATTCTGTATAACTTTTTATTTGCACAGATTGACTTGCTGTTAGAGACATATTACCTTGAAAATTGATTATTTTACCCAGAACAATTGATGAATTACACTACTGTATACCATTCCTTCTCTTCCTTCCTTTTGCCAAAATATTTTTATCTTTACGAATTCTACAACCTGAATATCTGCAATATATTTGTCTAGTGTGATCGGATTAAGTTTCATTTGTAAACTTGATAATGACTTACAGCCAACAAAACATCATAAGATCATATCGTTCATTCGAGTAATTAGTGTATTAATACCAAATAGTACATTTGTGATATTTCGTCTTTATGTAAAATTTAAATGATTCCGTGAATATCAACAAAGTAGCTCTAGGACAGAAACAAGGATAACAGGTTTTTCAATGTTAGAGAGTTCAATTTCAAATCTTCTTCATGAAAATATTCATTAGAAAAAAGACGTACACTAGAAATTCTGTCCTTCACTTTTATACCCATTTATAAATTGTTATGTGTATACAGTTGGAGTGGAAGTATGGTATTCAAGAATAGAAAGTTTACATCAGTATTTGCTAAATCCTAAAAAACAACCTGTAGAGCACACGGAAAATAAAAAAGCATTTGAAGAAGTCATTACGATCAATTCAAAGATACACTGAATTCATAAAAAACAGTTTAGCTACATTCTCAAAAAAATTATCATGTAGTCGTGGGAGATTACAATTTATGCGAATGTATATTATTTTGAATAATTATGTAACAAACCAGTGATCAAAGAAAATTAACATTTTGCACTTTGGGATATCTATATTACAAAGATAGACCTACCAGCTTTGGCATGATTATTCGTGCAATTAAGCAACGCACTTCTCCACTAACATCATCCTTAACCTTTAATATTTCATACTTGGGAGTATCACCTTTAAAAGGTGGATCAGGTAACTCTATCACTTTTGGTTTGGGTGGTCTAAAATATTTACAAATAAGAAGATTATACACATATACTAACTCTTACTGAGAATCATTCATTTCAATAATCGCAGGACGACTAGAAGTTCGAATACATTGTTCTTGTAGTTTACCCATACATTTTTTATTCTTTAAAACAATCCAACCTGTAAGATTAAATTAGAAAATAATGAATACAAACTGGATGCTTACTTCTTTCAAGTTCGATGCCATACTTATTTTCCAAGCCTTCGAATATCACTGTCATCAAAAATGCCTCAAACAATTCTGATGATTTGACTTTTTGGTAGAATTGTGGGTTGATTATTACATCATAGGCGGTACAGCCTTTCTGAGCTTAAAATTAAAGGAATAAAGTATGAAATTACAAAGGTTTTTAAAAACGATATCTACTTATGGAAGTAGTTTCATCAGTACATACATTGGTGTTGATTACAGCATTAATTTCTTATTAATAGGCAACAGACGGTTCAATTTGTGAATTTTGTTTTCATTAGTACTCATCGACAACGTATAGAAAATTTAATGAGACTTTGATTGTTTATGAGCTATCTATGTGTCTACGAGAATTCTATTATTTATCAATTTGTGACTGTTATTGAGGCTACACTAAACAATAAACTACTTGAAGTGTTTTACACTTAATATCCAGGTTCACACTAGAGACAATATATATTTAAGATGTCATTTTACATTTCGTAGATTTAGAACGCTTTATAGATATCCTAAGATTCCTTAAAATGCATTATTAATATTATGCACTTCATCTGCATCCATACTCAATATGATACCATTTGTATACTTTCAGCTACTTCATACATTTTCAACTAAACTAATCAATTAAAAACACAAGTAGATGATTACTTCCAGAACTTTTATGAAGTATGATTTTGGTAATTTATTAACACACTTTCAGTGAATAAATGGTGATTGATTAGGGATAGTAAATGATACGATGTGGTCAAGTGGATATATTTATGGTTTCAAACCTAACTACTTATTTTTATTCTTTATAAATTTATCAAATTGGTGTTACTGACTGACTGGAAACAATCAAACAAAACTACTTTAAGCGAGAACGATGATGTCCACAGTCACTGAGCTCCATATCAATGACAATACAAAAGAATGTGGTTAGGAAATATCAAACACATGACCTATCGATATGCAACACTATTCGGAAGTCACCAATTCTTTTATTGTTTTGATAATTCAGAATGCTTCTGGTTCATTACGACAATGAGAAAGGTTGAAAAATGAGTTGACACTTCTAGTACACATTTGTTGTGCTTTCCTGAGATTATAACGCCTCAAACTTTCCTACAGAAACTGACAGCATTTTGAGCGCTTGTCCAGAACTATCCCGGAATATGTAGAACACAAAGTGATTTTACTTTCTCTATGATTGAGAAACAAAAGTTGAATGCGGATAACAAGAATATAGGTACCAAAACATTGAGAAGCAACCAATGAGTAAGAAAGTTTGTGATTAGATAGTAAATCATTGTGTAGTAGATTAGATTTATATTATGAGTGAAACAAACAGTTGATTCACGATAACCAACACATTCCGTAAGTGATCAAACCAGTCGTCAAAATTTAGGTCTTTAGCCCAACGACGGTCTAATGTATGTAACGCCTAAACCTTGGGTAAGGTGTTTGGACAAAAAACTATATTTTGTGATACTAGTGGATCAATATAACCCAGGAAGATTGAAACGTTGTTAACATAATGTAAGCATCAATTCTAGTTCTAGTGTTTGAAAAAAGACCCGCTCGTACGTTTTTCCGGCCTAGAATGAGTAAACATACTATGTGGCTCGGAAGCAGGCGAGTCAGAAATCCCCAATATGTTCTAGGAATTCGATATTGGTTTAAACCATGTATTTAGACCTTATTAGTATCACGACTGTTTCGGAGGTTTAAATATTATACATTTTTTCCAGAATCGTTACACCAAATGCATTTATTCACGAAACATACAGTTAACACGGAACTTTCACCTTGTCGCAATCTTGGTTTGCTGGTTGAGTTTCGTGCACTTAAACATCCTTACACGACAGAAGTAAAAACTAAATCAAAATCTGTGATAGACAAAATGTATATTAGTCATTTATAAACAATTCAGGACTTAGAACGAATATATAAGGGCCTAAGTTTTCCTACTTTGAAGTAGTACCGCATAGGGGAACAAGCAGTCCAAAATTTGTTTTTATTTATACAATTCGTGTAAATTAAGGGATTGGATGATACCCAAGTAACTATATATCGGCAATGCTCTGTGCTGTCTTGAAAAGCTTCGCTTTTAACTAGAATTACAAGCTCGGAAATAGTTAATAATCAATGACTAACATGTATTATTCAGGACTGAAATGAGGCCAATAGTTACGATATTGGGCATCGGCTGGTAAACTTTACTTAGTGAGTAGATCAAAGCAATCGTAACAAAAATAACCGGAACAGTATGTGTCTGCCACAGGATTTCAATTTCAGGAACCGTTTATACGGTGGTCCAGATTACCCAAATAACTGTGAACTGATAAATACTCTCTAATAGTGCACTATTCACCAGTGTTTCTAAGCATGAATACACTGAATCGATTTAAATAGTACTATTAACCAATGAATATTGCGGATGAACTAGATATTTTGTTCTCACTGAGAAACTGAATACGTGGCATACTAACTTCGGTGATGTCCAGGCGATACCTGAGTTTGCAACATGAAAATCGTCGTGGTAGAACCTTTAAATTCTAAAAATTCTATTATGCCATTAACTTTTAGTAACACTGAATGCATACGTATGAAGCGATCTGTTCAGTCATAATGAACGCAGAATTTCTTGGGATCGGATATTAGGATCTCGTCTGGATAAATAATCCTATAGATAGAAAGCAAAAGGGATTTGAAGGAACCAGGGTATGAAAATGGTACCTGAGTCAGTCTCAGCGTGAGGTTCTCCTATGCACATTGGGACTTTGAAGGGTGGGGAGTTGTCAATATCATTAAGGATTGATCTTAATTCCTCTTCACTTAAATCCTTCGGAACTGGGACCTATAAAGATCTTCAAAAGGGGTATCCATTTACTTTATCAGAGGTACATATGTTCACAAACACTTTTTCCTGATTTTTAGACTTTAACTTTGCACAAAACCCTGTGATCATTACTACCGAGTGAAGGTTATCAAACCTGGATCGGGTACGATTATAATTGAGCTTTGCTGCGTATTTCGTACAGGGACCTTTATTATCAGATGAGAGATAAGTATAATCTATACCTCATCTTGGACTATGTCGAAAATCCCCATTCCTTAAAATTTTTGAATGTTGCGGGTATTACTTTGACAAGGTAATCTGAAAATGAGATCGTTCACTATTTCAAGGGTATTTTCCTGTTTTTTTTATTGTAGAAATATTACTTTAGAAAGAACGAAAGTATTTGGTGAGTCTATAATTAATGGAAAACCTTTGAGCAATGCCAAAATAACTTAGAGAATACTAACCTACCAACAAGTACATATGAGGTTTATAAACCAGTGGAAGGAATTAGAATTAATATTTGTAATTGATTGCTAGGGTTAGTAATTAAATTTATGGTTTTCATCACGAGCTGACATCAGCTGCAATCCCAAAACTATTTTGCTAAATGAACAAAATAATTTCGCTCCAAAATTCGAGACATGTTACCTTAAATCTGATTGGTTAGTTCATAAATTAAATTCTAGCCGAAAGTTCTTATACTCTCTTTTCGTCATTCTCTTGTATTCCTCGTCTTGCTAATATCCTCCCTTGTGTTTTTCACCTCCAATATATGGAAGTGATTATCTGAATCAAATAGAATAAGGCACAAAACGAACAGTGTTATTTGGTATGAAGTGAGATGAGAGCGAAGGATGGTACTGTGGTGCGTGCTACTTATATTGATATAAGTAGCATATAACGTGAGTCAAAAGAACGTAATGACTGGGAGCAGAAGATGGAGAAGATCAAGAAAAGAAGAGCGAGAAAACAATGGAATTTGTAAGAAATCGCATGAGCAATGAAATGCGAGACAATGGATTGATGTTTCCAACAGCAACAGCCCGGTTTGATATGATAGAATGATATTTTGCAAATTAACGATTTACTATATGGTTTTTCTATTTTACCAAGTAATTCTGTAATTTGTCCTAAATACAATTTGGCTGTCCTCACCCGTGTTCTTCTTCACTACATTTGGTGTCGCTGCCTCCACTGAGGATGAAGATCCCATGGCCGAAGGAGTTTGAGGACGGAGATGTGCTGAGCTTCCTGAAGGAGTTTGAGGCCGTGGCGGAGCTGGTGGGACTGGAGGAGCCGAAGGCGAAGTTGGTGGTGCTGGGGACGCTGCTGAGAGGCAGGGCGAAGGCGGTGTATGACAGCCTGGACGGTGCTGGCGGGAAGACCACATGGGAGGCAGTCACGGAGGGGTTGGCGGCGGAGTTTGACAGCCCAGTGGACAGAGAGGACGCGCTGCAGAAGTTCCGGTTGGCGAGGTTGCCGGTCGATGGGGACCCACTGGTGCTGGCTGTGGAGCTTACCAGATTGTTACGCCGTGCGCTGCCGAGTCTGGATGAGGAGTCGGAGACAGTTGTTGGCGTCACAGTTTGTCGAGAGTGTGCCTGCCACCGTCTCCCAACAGCTGAAACTGGTGAACGCAGCGCAACCGATGAATATCAGTGAACTAGCGAAGGTGACTCGTCAGCTGATGACGCGAACAGTAGCTCCGGTCGGGTGCGGAAAGCAGGAGATGAGTAATGTCGAGAAGAAGATTGAGGAGCTGGAGCGCGAGATTGCAGCAATACGAGTGAACAATAAAAGGAACGATAAATGTTACGCTTGTGGAGGGACAGGACATTGGAAGATAAACTGTCCAACAAGACGAAAACGCAGATATGTCAGACGTTACAACGAGTGTTCTTTCTATCCTAGGAATCTGGGGATTGTTGCGTTAGTAGACAGAGGGGCAGTATATACGAGAGTGAACATAAATGAGCGAGATTTAGTTTGTCTGATCGATACAGGTGCAGCAGTATCGTTAATAGGAAAAGAGCAATGTAAGAGAATCAAGCCGTGTACATTAGCTGTCCACACGATAGGGGGCCATATGTTAGAGGTGTTTGGTGTATCTAACAGTATCGTAAAAGCGGGGGATGCGGAGATAAATTTTCCGTTCGTCGTAACCACAAGCTTATCGAGACCGATATTAGGAGCAGATTTCCTATGAGAAGTAAAAGCGATAGTTGACTTAAGAAGCGGTAAGGTGGTCACGAAATATGGTTCATTGACAATACACGAAAGTAGCGAAGTGGCTGAAATAAGAGTTGCAGCCGATGTCTCGTCAAAGAAACCAAACATTCACGAGTTGTGCAAAAAGTATTCGAAACTATTCACTGGAGATGGGGAGCCGTATGGATTTTGTGACAGAGTAAAACACGAAATACCGATAAAGAACAGTCGAGTAAATATATTTGCAACACGTCGTGTCCCGGTGCATTTAGAGGCCGAGGTAAATCGTCAGGTCCAGGAAATGGTTAAAGAAGGTATAATTGAGGAAGCGGACAGCCCATATAGCTCGCCGGTACTCTTGGTAAAGAAACCAAATGGAAAGTATAGACTTTGTGTCGACTTCAGAGAATTGAATAATATAACAGACCTGAAGCCTTGTGCAATGCCAACAGTGGTGGAAACATTAGATCGGCTACAGAATGCCACGGTGTTTACAGTGCTGGATTTACGGTCAGGTTATTGGCAACTGCCTATAAAAGAGAGTGATCGGAGCAAGACAGCGTTTACTGTACGGGATAAACAGTATCAATTTAAACGAATGCCGTTCGGGTTGGCGAGTGCACCGTTCACGTTCAGAAGATTAATGACACTATTGCTCAAGAATCTAGATAACGTCGAGGTATATGGCGACGACGTAGTTGTGTACAGTCAAACAGAAACAGATCACATCAAACATGTGGAAGCGGTTTTAAAGCGAATTGACGAATTCGGACTTCGGATTAATAAGGACAAGTCGCAGATAGCGAAAAGTAGCGTCACATTGTTGGGACATAAAGTGGGAAATGGAGAAATAAAACCATTGCCGGAGAAAATTCTTACCATAAAAAATATTGCAGTACCTAATTCGAAAAGGAAGTTGAGACAGTTCCTGGGAAGAGCGGCGTTCTACAGTCGGTTTGTCAAAAATTTCAACGAAATAGCAGCACCCTTATATAAGTTATTGAGCAGCACCAAGTTTACGTGGACTGAGACTGCCGAACAAACGTTCAACCGAATCAAAAACATGCTAGACGATCGCCAGATGACGCTTAGACTGCCTGAACCGGGAAGACTGTTTACAGTGGCCACAGACGCGAGTGATCATGGTATAGGTGCTGTGTTGAGTCAGGCTGATAGAGTGGTGGAATACGCGAGTCGCGTCCTCACACCTGCTGAACAGAAGTATTCAACCATCGAAAAAGAGTGTTTAACGATCGTATGGGCAGTGGAAAAATGGAGACCATACCTTTTAGGTAGACGATTTCACATTGAGACGGACCATAAACCCCTGCAGTGGTTGAAAACAGCAAGAGACTCCCGAGGGAAGTTGGCGCGATGGATGATACGCCTGCAAGAATACGATTTCAGTATCGGCCATGTTCCAGGAAAAGAAAACGTAATGGCAGATTACTTGTCAAGACCAGACATGGAAGCCGACCTGCCATTAACAGCATACGCGGTGAATAGTTTAGAGGGAGACCCATTAGAACTCGTCCGGCAGCAGAAAGCTGACCCTAACCTTCGAGAGGTAATCAGAGTGATAAAGGAGGGAGCAGACGTAGATAAACGAACAATGAACAAGGAGGTAATAACGCTGCTTCGGCAAAAGGACCAACTGAGAGTGAACTCATATGGAGTGCTGACCTGGCAGGACGATGATGAGAATTGGGTGGCGGTGATCCCGAAAGACTGGCGGCGTAAAGTGATACACGAGTGTCACCAGGTAGCACATACAGGCATCGCAAGAACGACGGACTTACTACGACAAAGTGCATACTGGCCGAGCATGAGAGACGATGTGGCTGAATACGTGTTAACCTGCCAGCAGTGTCAGTTAATGAAAAGCGATCGATACACACAACCACCATTACAGTCAATCCCAGTAACCGCAGTCGGTGATCTATGGTCGGTTGATGTGATGGGACCGTTTCCACAGACGGGGAGCGGTAACCAGTATCTGTTAGTGATGACGGAACATGCCACACGTTGGGTAGATGCCGTACCCATTGCAGACCAGCGGGCAAGGACAGTGACCGAGGTGGTAATCCGGCATATTGTAGCGTGTCACGGAATACCGAAGATGATATTAACTGACCAGGGTCCCTGTTTTGAAAGTGACGAGTTTAAAGCCCGTTTAAAGCAGTTTGGCATCAAGAGAATACGAACTACACCATATCATCCTCAGACAAACGGGCTTACAGAGAGAAACAATCGGACGTTAAAGGAATGGTTAGCATCAAAAGGAGGAAATTGGGAGAAAGAGTTACCATTGATTTTGCTGGCACATCGTTCCTCAACACAAGGAACAACCAAGAAGTCACCTTTCTTGCTCATGTATGGCAGACAACCACGACTTCCAATGCATAATAAGACCTGGCCACAACAACAGAAGTGGACGACAACAAGGTTAAGAAAAGAGAGGAGAGAGGCAATATGGAATGTGGAAAAGAAACAAATATCAGACACAAAGAAGGCAGAACAACAGAGGAGAACGTGGAAACCCTTTGCAGTGGGGGACATAGTAAAGTGTAGAGAACGAAAAAGTAACATAGCAGGGGGAGCAGGGTTGGGGAAGCTGGCCCCAAAATGGGAAGGACCGTATGTAATCACGGAGAGACGCGGCTCGGTCTACACGATCCGGAGAGAAGACAAGCAGAAGCGCGTAAATGCTAGTCAACTACAGAGATGGTTTCAAGATCATCATGGGTGTGAATCACGAAAAGCACCAAAGAACACAGCGGTACGGAGATCAGAAAGACTACGACAGCAACTTGTTAAAAGGGGGGACGAGTGTGGTGCGTGCTACTTATATTGATATAAGTAGTATATAACGTGAGTCAAAAGAACGTAATGACTGGGAGCAGAAGATGGAGAAGATCAAGAAAAGAAGAGCGAGAAAACAATGGAATTTGTAAGAAATCGCATGAGCAATGAAATGCGAGACAATGGATTGATGTTTCCAACAGCAACAGCCCGGTTTGATATGATAGAATGATATTTTGCAAATTAACGATTTACTATATGGTTTTTCTATTTTACCAAGTAATTCTGTAATTTGTCCTAAATACAATTTGGCTGTCCTCACCCGTGTTCTTCTTCACTACAGTGCTACGAAGCTTGAACGAATTTAACA